GTTTGAGACCAGCCTGGGCTTTATAAATAGTGAGACCCCATCTCTCCAGAAATTTTTTAAAAAGAAAATTAGCCACGGATGATGGTGCATGTCTACAGTCTTAGCTACTTGGAAGGCTGAGGTGGGAGGATCACTTGAGCCCAGGAGGTCAAGGCTGCAGTAAGCCATGATCACACCCATGTACTACAGCCTGGGCGATAGAGGGAGACCCTGTTTCCAAAGTAATAATAAAAAACTTTTTAAAAGAAAAACTGAAGAGATGTATGCACACACATCGCATATGTATGCATGTACACATATATATAACTACATGTATACCTGAAGGGTTTGGGGATTTTTGTTTTTTTGAGGCAGAGTTTCGCTCTTGTTGCCCAGGCTGAAGTGCAATGGCAAGATCTCGGCTCACCACAACCTCCACCTCCTGGGTTCAAGCGATTCTCCTGCCTCAGCCTCCTGAGTAGCTGAGATTACAGGCACGTGCCACCACGCCCGGCTAATTTTGTATTTTTAGCAGAGACAGGGTTTCGCCATGTTGGTCAGGCTGGTCTCAAACTCCTGACCTCATGATCCACCCGCCTCAGCCTCCCAAAATGTTGGGATTATACTCGTGAGCCACCTTGCCCAGTTTGGGGTTTTTTGTTTTTATTTATAGGGATGGGGTCTCGCCATGTTGCCCAGGCTGGTCTCGAAATTCTGGGCTCAAGCAATTTTTCTGCCTCAGCTTGCCAAAGTGCTGAGATTACAGGCATGAGCCACTCACTACCCACAACCACAAGAAGTTTTATATTCATCAAATGCTTATGCTGATTTAATTATGGAGGAAACACAAGACTAGAAAAGTCAGGAACTAAACTCATATACAAAGAGACATAAGAAACTAATACAACTGCATTTCCTATGAATCCAGTACATGAATTTAGCTCATTTCATTAGCACAGAGCACTGTGACTTTAGTTCCTGAAAAAAAGGCCCAGGAGTGGGGTGGGGTGGGGTGGCTCACGCTTACAATCCCGGCACTTTAGGTGGCAGGGGGGCAGTAAGGCAAAAGGATCACTTGAACCCAGGAGTTTGAGACCAGCAACACAGCGAGATACCATCTCTTTAAAAATAAAAAATAAAAAAGGCAGTTTTAACTATCATTAACCTTTATTGTATAGTACACATTTTAGACTGTAGCATTTAAAGGAAAACTTATCAATTTTTACATGATTTTTGAGAACATTTTAAATAATATGAAGTAAAAAAAAACATTTCAAGAAGCAAAACACAGTGGAAAGCTTCCACAACAAATTGGAGCTTCTTGGTTTCTGTAGGTATTTCATAAAAATTGTAGTAAGGCTTATGATGAGAATTATTTGGGAAGAGAAAACGTGTATGTAAGAAAAATGTGACATCCTCCCACTTGGTGAGGGGAGATGAAACTCCACTAATATTGGGCCAGGCACTTTAATATCTGCCATTCATTCATACAGCAAATACTCATTAATGCCCACTAAGTGCCAGGCATTTCGAAGATACAATCCTGTTTACAAGCACCTTACTGTCAGATGAGACAGGGACCAGATACATTAAGAAAAATTACCAAGTATGTTATTATATGTATTGTTATAACTATTGTTATGATAAAAGCTACACCAAATACAGTATGTGAGAAGAGCAGAGGGGCAAGCTGGGAGGCTAGCGAAGATCTGAAGAAAGAAGAGGGAGGAAGAGGAGTGTATTCCAGATGTCCTATCATTTAATCCCTACAATTCTGGATTAAGTACCTTTCCCAAGGTCACAGGACTATTAAGTGTCTGAGCCAAGCTTTGAGAGCAGATTTTGAAACTAGAGGCTTGCTCTGTCGCCCAGGCTGGAGTGCAGGTGTACAATCTTGGCTTACTGCAACCTCTGCCCCCTAGTTTCAAGCAATTTTCCTGCCTCAGCCTCCCGAGTAGCTGGGAGTATAGGCACCTGCCACCACACCTGGCTAATTTTGGTATTTTTAGTAGAGATGGTTTTTTACTATGTTGGCCAGGCTGGTCTTGAACTCCTAATCACAAGCGATCGGCTCACCTCAGCCTCCCAAAGTGCTGGAATTATAAGCGTGAGCCACCACGCCTGGTCTGAGACCAGATTTAAATGACTTCAAAGTCCACGCTTCCACTGTGCCATGCTGCATTTTCCCAAATTGCTACTTCTCCCCAAACCATTTCCTCTTAAAGTTCATTGAAGAATGTTGACTCTACCCCAGATTCTAAGTGCCAAAATTAGACTCTCTTCCAGACTAGGCCCTTGGTTTTTCACCTGCTACCTCCAAACTCATTTTCACATACCTTTTGATTTGGGACGCTAATAAACATAATTTTTTCACCCAGACTATAACGATGTAGAGAAACACCACCACGAAGTGTCAAAGTTTTTTAAGGTTATTACTTACTTGTACTACAAATAAAATAACTTTTTTTTTTTTTTTTTTTTTTGAGACGGAGTCTCGCTCTGTCACCAGGCTGGAGTACAGTGGTGCAATCTCGGCTCATGGCAATCCCCACCTCCCGGGTTCAAGCAATTCTCCTGCCTCAGCCCCCTAAGTAGCTGGGACAGCTGTTCAGTATTTTTAGTAGATACAGGGTTTCACCATGCTGCCCAGGCTGGTCTCGAACTCCTGACCTCAAGTGATCCACCTGTCTCGGCCTCCCAAAGTGCTGGGATTACAGGCGTGAGCCACCATACCAGGCCAATAAAATAACTTTCTGGCAGACAGTTTTGCAAAGTTATTTAGATTATAGGGCGCAAAACTAAGGATACTGGTCAGGACAACAGTTGAGAAAATAAAAGCAACTACAAAAAGGGCAAAGAAAACGCCACACTTTCACTTCAGGAATGACTTTCACATTCAACAACTCTCATCTGTGATTCAGATCTCGACTTAGGAGAGCTTCTCTTTCCCTTCTTTCTGTTCCTACTTCCTCTTTCTCAGCGCTTCCATTTTTAGGAATAGCAAACTTCAAAACAAGACTTCTATTACATTAGATCTGTTGTGAGATATAGCAATAGAACAGTCATAAAAAAACTAAATTGGGGAAGCTCCCCTTTCCTCTATATTCTTCCTGTGATTTTTTAATGCCGACTGAGGAACATAAAAGCTAGATCTGTGAACCTAAGATTTGCCACAAGCTGATTATATAAAATACTAGATACAGTTATGCTTCACTGAACGACAGGGATATGGGCTGGGAAATGCCTGGTTAGGTGATTTTTGTCTTGCAAACATCATAGGGTGTACTTACACGAACCTAGATGCTATAGCCTACTAAATGCCTAGGCTATATGGTGTACACTACAGTAAGATGCTATACAAATTTGCAGCCTAGGAGCAATAGGCTGTTGCATGTTACTGTACTGAGTACCGTAGGCAACTGTAACAAAATGGTAAGTATTTGTGTATCTAAGCACATCTAAACATAGAAAAGATACAGTAAAAATATGTACTACAATGTCTTGAGACCACTTCTTCTATGCAGTCCTTGGGCAGTGCGTGACTGTAATACTTTGCTCTCCCCTCTCTATAAGGTAGCAAATTTTTTTTTTTAAAGTTTCTACAAAGCCCTCAACCTTCTTCCTTTATATCTGAGCTACCACCAATACTGCGAATAACAAGCTGGCTATGAAAATCAGACTACCACAGACTCAGCAAGAGTTATACACCCAAAAATCTCTCACGACTTTCAGTTTAAAAATATATGTACAAATATAGACAGGAAGATGGGGAGAGAGAGCGTGAGTGCCAGTGCCAGACGCTAACCATGTGAAGAAAGATGAATGATAAGCTGTGGCTTACAGAAGCAAAAACTAATTTGGAAAAAGAACTCAACACTCAAATGCCTGGTGCGTTTCTTCATCCCTAGGAACAAATGGTAACTAATGGCAAAACCCTCAAGTACAGGATAGGTAGTATGGAGCCCGAGGATTCCAAATACTCTCCAAGAAGCTACAGTGCTCAATTTATTGAAGCCTGGGGCTACTTTGCAAAGTTAACAAGGCAAAGATGTTGGAAGGCCTAATTATATTAATATATTCTTCAGGGCACTTATGGATTATTTGGAGCAATGGACACTATGTAAATCAAAAACATTACCATATCAATAATTACATAGGGTTTATAAGGTGAGTTTATATTTTGGGATTCTCTGGTAGTGATAGTTTACAACATAATTATATACACAGTGTATAGTCTGATGAATTTCCTCACTGAGGGTAAACTGCTGCGAAATGTTTTATTATTCGTTTATTGCTAGTCACGTTGTTCACACAACACGCCTATAAGTAGCGTTCCCTTTGAACTGTACTGTTACTAGACTGTCCTGTGTTGTACCATCGAAAACCAACGTCCAACATGCTCTTTTCCCAGGATTGGCCTGAAGCACACGAGTGGAACACCGCATAGAAGAACTTTTATATAATAAAAGTACTGAACGTCTCCGGCCCTTAATATCCAGAGCACCCACCCCTGGTAAATGACAAGGGCAGTAACCAATCGCCAGGCAGGATCCTAGTGCCTTAGCCAATAAGAATATGAGGGTGGGGCTAGGCTAAGCTGCCGGTGGCTTCCCCGCACCCCAGAGACCCAGGCTGTGGGAGGCTGGACAGGAATTGGACTCCGAGGATTTCGTTACCCTCGGTTGTAGCTGTTGTCCTCGTCATTCTCGCAATCGCTGCAGTGCTCATGGCCGTTCCCGTTCCCTTCCATCATCTGCGGCAGCGGAGGTCCCGGCGGCTTCACTGCTGTCTCACTCTCGTCCGCCATCTTGAGTTGCGAGAGCCGGGCTCCGCGCCCCGCTACATGGGGTGTTCCTATTGGACAAGGGGAATTTGCGCTGCATTCTGGGTTTTGTAGTTTTTCTGGAGAAGGGCGCTGCCACTAGGAGCGACTCTTTCCCAGAAGACTGACTACAATACCCAGGTATCGCGAGGGGCGGCTCCGTTCGGGTCAAGGGGCGGGGCCACTAATACCCGGAAGCCTAGGCGTTCGGCCGCGCTTTGAGGAAAGAAGGGCCGCGAGGTTGGTGGGACCGACTCTTCGGACCCGGGAGGCCGCCTGGCATGTTGGGAGTTGTAGTTCGCGCTGGTTTGGGGTGTCTGGCATGGAGGTTCCAAAATCCAAGGTTTGATTTCAGCCTGCCCTTGCCAGTGCCTGGGCCTCTGGGAGCCGTTATTGGCTGCCGTTAAGGACCGTTACCTTTCCCGGGTAAGTGAAAGGGCCTGAGGCCCGCGGATGCGACCCGCCCGGAGCCCGAATGCTCTGGGCCTTCTTGGAGTGGGCTTTTCTGCAAAAAGCCGTGTTGGCTCCTGGCCGCCTTCACTCGGGAGCCTGGGCAACCCCCGGTCATTGGCAGTTCAAGGTCTCATGAGAGCCAGTGGATTGTTGTGTGCGGAGCACTGACCCTAAGCCAGGAGACCAGACTCTGCTAGGGAGGCTGAGCTCGCCGCCGCATCTTGGCCTCCAGGTACTGATCTTCACCAAGCTCTTTCGCGCACACGTTGTCCCTTTCATCCCCCACGTCTTCCACGACCTTTTTTTTTTTTTTTAAATAGGGTCGCCGTCTGTCGCCCAGGCTGGAGTGCAATGCGCGAGATCACGACTCACTGCAGCCTCAACTTCCTGGGCTCAAGCTATCCTCCCACCTCAGCCTCCCAAGTAGGTAGTACTACGGGCGTGAGCCACCACACCTGGATAATTTTTGAATTTTTTGCGGAGACCAGGGTCTCACCTTGTTGTCCAGGCTGGTCTTGAACTCCTGGCCTCTAGGGATTCTCCTATCCCAGCCTCCCAAAGTGCTGGGATTACTGTCGTGAGCCACGGCACCCAGCCCACATCGACTCTTCAATGAGTTCTTATATTCCAGGCTCTGTGGTAAGGCTTTTCGTACATTATCTCATTTAACTCTCTCAACAAGCCTCCAATATAGGTGCTATTATTATTCACTTTTTTTTTTTTTTTTTTTTTTGAGACGGAGTCTTGCCCTGTTACCCAGGCTGGAGTGCAGTGGTGCAATCTCGGCTCACTGCAACCTCCACCTCCCAGGTTCAAGCGACTCTCCTGCTTCAGCCTCCTGAATAGCTGGAATTACAGGAATGCACTACCATGCCCAGCTAATTTTTGTATTTGTAGTAGAGACAGGATTTCACCATGTTGGTCAGGCTGGTCTCAAACTCCTGACCTCGTCATCTGCCCGCCCCAGCCTCCCAAAGTGCTGGGATTACAAGGGTGAGCCTCTGCGCCTGGCCATATTCACCATTTTTGACAGATGAAAAAATGTGGCCCTGAGAGGTTGGTAAATCGCACAATCACATAGCTGGTTAAGTGGCAGATCTGTATACCAATCTGGATCTGTCTGCCCTAGGCCCTCTGAATTCTTTGCCACCATAAAAGTCCCATTTTCTGATACACTATTCACTCAAGGAAATCAGTTACTAGAAGGTAGCTGTGACTCCAATGTGTATTCTATGTCGAGGGAAAAAGGCAACTGCCCATTTTAATCTGTTTTTAGCCCTGATTGAATGTTTCAGTCCCCGAGTCTCACTCTTGTGATTGAGTAATCTACCTGAATCCCGAGAAGAGTGCCCAAAGACGGGATTCTCATTCTTGGAAATTTCCTATTCAGGTTGGGTGTGGTGGGTGGTGAGAGGACTAATTCTTACCACCAGTGTGCTCCATGGCCAAAAAGGGAAATGAGCTTTGCCTTATGGGAGAGATCTTAACATGAGAAGAATGGCAGGGCTGGCAGAAACAGTTCCCATCTGACTCAGAGAAAGAAAACACAAATAAAACACAGAGCTAAATATAGTCAACTCTGTTTTGATATCAGTGGCATAAGCATAAGTAATTATGATCCAAAGCAGCAGATAACCCCCAGTCATTTATTTTTTGACTTTGGAAGGCAGTCAAAGATGCCCACTCAGTCTGAGAGCTGTCACCACACTCAACTCTCTGGGGCCCAAGACTGCTGTTCAACGCAATGGCCCTATTTGCAGGTTCAGGGAAGAGGAGGTCAGAGATGACAATAATGATAATAAAGCCAGGCCAGGCGCGGTGGCTCACACCTGTAATGCCAGCACTTTGGGAGGCCGAGGTGGGTGGATCACCTGAGGTCAGGAGTTTGAGACCAGCCTGGCCAACATGGAGAAACCCTGTCTTTACTAAAAATAGAAAAATTAGCTGGGTGTCGTGGTGCACACCTGTAATCCCAGCTACTCGAGAGGCTGAGGCTGAGTACCAGGTACTGTGCTTGACCCCACGATATGTTGTTAAAATTAACATAAAATTTTGGTCAGGCGTGATGGCTCGTGCCTGTAATCTGAGCACTTTGGCAGGCTGAGGTAGGCAGATCACTTGAGGCCAGGAGTTTGAGACCAGCCTGGCCAATGTAGTGAAACCCTGTCTCTACTGAAAATAACAAAAAAATTAGCTGGGCCTAGTGGTGGGTGCTTGCGATCTCAACTACTTAGGAGGCTGAGACATGGGAATCATTTGAACCTGGGAGGTGGAGGTTGCAATAAGCTGAGATTCTGCCACTGCACTCCAGCCTGGGCAGCAAAGTGGGACTCTGTCTCAAAAAAATGAAAATTAAAAATAAAAAGATATTGTGTATATGCGATTACTCTTTTTTTTTTTTTTTTTTTTGATACGGAGTCTTACTTTGTCACCCACGTTGGAGCGCAGTGGCCCAATCTCAGCTTACTGCAACCTCTGCCTTTCAGGCTCAAGTGATTCCCCTGCCTCAGCCTCCCAAGTAGCCGGGATTACAGGTGCCTGCCACCACACCTGGCTAATTTTATACTTTTAGTAGAGATGGAGTTTCACCATGTTGGCCAGGCTGGTGTCAAAATCCTGACCTCAGTTGATTCGTCCACCTCGGCCTCCCAAAGTGCTGGTATTACAGACATGAGCCACTGCACCTGGCCTGTGATTACTTTTTTTTTTTTGTAAGATGGAATCTTGCTTTGTTACCCAGGCTGGAGTGCAGTGGCATGATCTCGGCTCACTGCAACCTCTGCCATCTGAGTTCAAGCAATTCTCCTGCCTTAGCCTCCCTAGTAGCTGGGACTATAGGTGCATGGCACCATGCCCAGCTAAATTTTTGTATTTTAGTAGAGACGAGGTTTCACCGTGTTGCCCAGGATGGTCTTGAACTCCTGAGCTCAGGCAATCTGCCCGTCTCAGCCTCCCAAAGTGCTGGGATTACAGGTGTGAGCTACTGTGCCCAGACCTGTGATTACTTTTTTTAAATGGCCACCTGGTAATATTGCCACATTTTGTTTTGATGCCTAAATTTACATTTGGGTTTACAGTTACATCGCTATGGAATGATCACCCAAAGCAAAACAGTGTAGAGTTTCCTAAATTGGATCTATGGATGTCTTCTCAGAGTTCCAGGAGTTCTCATATTTGTTCCCCTCCACTCCCCATAAGAGAGAGCTTTCCACCTTTTTTTTTTTTTTGAGATGGGGTTTTGCTCTTGCTGCCCAGGCTGGGGTGCAATGGCTCGATCTCCATTCACTGCAACCTCTGCCTGCCAGGTTCAAGCGATTCTCTTGCCTCAGACTCTCAAGTAGCTGGTATTATAGGTGCCTGCCACCACGCCTGGATAGTTTTTGTATTTTTAGTAGAGACAGGTTTTCACCATGTTAGCCAGGCTGGTCTAACAAGCCTGGCTAACTGCACCCAGCTAATTTTTGTATTTTTAGTAGAGATGGGGTTTCACTATATTGGCCAGGCTGGTCTTGAACTCCTGACCTCAGGTGATCCACTTGTCTCAGCCTTCCTAAGTGCTGGGATTATAGGTATGAGCCACCGCGCCGAGCCGAGAGCTTTCCACTTTGAATTCTTATTGGTGAAAAGTTGGCCAGGTTCTGCCTTATGGAGTTATGCAGAAATATAGCTGGGCGAGGTGGCTCATGCCTGTAATCCCAACACTTTGGGAGGCTGAGATGGGTGGATCACTTGAGCCCAGGAGTGTGAAACCAGCCTGGGCAACATAGAGAGACCCCGTCTCTAAAAAAAAAAAAAAAGCACAAAAATTAGCATGGCATTGTGGCATGCATCTGCGGTCCTGTCTACTTGGGGGACTGAGATGGGAGGATTGCTGGAACCCAGGATCATGTCACTGCATTCCAGCCTGGACAACATGGCAAGGCGCATCTCTACATAAAAAGGAAAGAAGGCTGGGTGCAGTGGCTCACATCTGTAATCCCAGCACTTTGGGGGGCCAGGGAAGTTCACCTGAGGTCAGGAATTCAAGACCAGCCTGGCCAACATGGTGAAACCTCGTCTCTACTAAAAATACAAAAATTATAGCTGGGCGCGGTGGCAGGCACCTGTAATCCCAGCTACTTGAGAGCCTGAGGCAGGAGAAGCACTTGAACCCAAGAGGAGGAGGTTGCAGTGAGACAGTGAGATGAGATAATGCCATTGTACTCCAGCCTGGGTGACAGAGGGAGACTCCGTCTCAGGAAAGGAAAAAAAAAGGAAAACATAATATATAAAAGAGTGCAGACAGAGTGTGAGTCCCTGGGTTCTAAATCCTGGCTCTGCCTCTGACTTTTTTTTTTTTTTTTTTTTTTTTTTTTTTTTTTTTT